CAAAAACTCCTGGGTTGCTTTTGCTGTATGTTTTGGATCATCGTCCATTCGTACTACGAAGCGCCGTCCAATTAGCTCTGCTGCATTTGACTGAATCTGGACCGAGAGTTTATCCCTGTACACTTCAGAATTCATCCGGCTGCTTCTGTCTTCTGTCACGTCATCAATAAACACCAGTAACCCAGTGCCACTGGAACAAATGCTCATGGCATCACACTGCTCCACCGTGTTTCACAGATGATGTTGTATGCTTTGGATCATGAGCTGTTCCAAGCCTTCTCCATACTTTTTTCTTCCCATCGTTCTGGTACAGGTTGATCTTAATTTCAGCTGTCCAAAGAATGATTTTCCAGAAGTGGTCAGGCTTTTTTAGACGTTTTTTTGGCAAAGTCTAATAAGGCGTTGTTTGCACCTTGTGGTGAACCGGATTCGTTGTGAAAGGATTTTTCTTTACCATGCAGAGGATTCTCCGATCATCAACCACGGTTGTCCTCTGTGGACGTCCAGGCCTTTTTATGTTGCTGAGCTCACCAGTGCGTTCTTTTTTCTCAGAATGTACCAAACTGTTGATTTGGCCACTCCGAATGTTCCTGCTATCTCTCTAATAGATTTGTTTTGTTTCTGAAGCCTAACAATTGTCTGTTTCACTTGTAAGGAGAGATCATTTGACCGCATGATGTGGGTTCACAGCAACAGCTTCTAAATGCAAATGGCACACTTAGAATCAACTCCAGACCTCTTACCTGCTTAATTGATGTAGAAGTAATGAAGGAATAGCCCACGTATGTCCATGAAACAGCTTTTGAGTCAATTGTCCAATTACTTATTGCACCTTGCACTTTAAGCCCATATTCATTGTATAAATGTAACTTGAATATGTTTTGGTCAACAGCTAAACTAATAAAAATTTTGCCTGTGTCCAAATATATATGGACCTAACTGTATATATAGATCTTATCAAATATGGTAAATGGAAGGTAAACAGTGCTTGTTTTTTGCGTGAGACCCAATGAGGAATGACTTGAGGATGAGTAATTGGTGACAGAATTTTCATTTTTTGGGGTGAGCTATTGCTTTAAGACATATTCCTAAATCAACTGCAATGGAGCTGTCAAGATTTATGGGCCAGTTGTCTGTAGGGTCTATGGCCTTCTTGTCCAGGTGAAGATTACTTGGGAAAAAAAATCCCATAGTCCTATTGTACAGGTCTGATGACAGGTGTTTGACAAGGTTATGATGTTTAATTGACCCTGTCTTGAATTTGTGGTGGTCCTATATGCACCTAAGTCTATTTGATGATGCATTCTTTACATCCTGTCCTGCCACCTAATATTTATAGTGAGTCCTTAACTGTCAGCTGAAGTCAGATTGATCCTGAGGACTGTTTGTAACTCTGGTGCCTTCACTTCAAATGATAAATTAAATGAATGGAACAATTTTCGATTTGCACAGTTAAAAAGAGCAACTCTTGGAAATGTTTTTTTTTAAAGTGTTGGTGTGACTTCACTCATTTGAGTTTTGCTAACTAAGAGCTCAGTGATATCAGAAGTTGTGGGCTGGATCTCATATATATATACACTTGTGCAGTGCAGAAAGAAGTTTTATTTCCTGTGTTAGACAGAGAACACTGACTAAGATACACTGAAGGCAATAACAATGAGGTCTCTGCAAATCATCTTCTTGTTGTTGGTTGTTCTTTGTCTCAGCAACTTTGTTGCAAGTGCAGGTTAGTGCTTTGTGTTTTTACTGTTCTACATTTTGGTAATTTGTGTGTTACAAAGCATTGCAGCAGTGTTTACATTAGTTTAGAATTTACCTACTTTCAGTCACTTCACAGCTAGGGTTATATATGTGAAGTGTCTTCAGACAGTGATACATTCATTTTTGTTTTTTTGTATTTGTATTTGTGAGTGCATCCAAAATGCCTCATGATGTTTAAAAAAACTTTACTCACCCTCATGTCATTCCAAACCTCCTGTGAAACATAAAAGAAGATATTATGAGAAATGTTTTTCTCATAATTTAACTGCAATAGATCACCAAAATTCCCCCCCATTTTGGACAACAGAAGTGAATAATCACCAAAACTGTTTGGTCACCAACATTCTTCAAAATATCATATTTTATGTTGCACAGAAGAAAGTCAGGTTTGAAACGATGTGAGGGTACGATGACAGAATATTCATTTTTGGGTGAACTATGTCTTTAAGGCATAAAAACAATGTCAGACGTAGTGACAATGTAGCACTTACCTGATATGTAAAAATAAGCAAAATTACTCAAAATGCTAAGAAAATACTTGACCTAATGCAGGAATATTCATCATCTACACTGTCCAGGTGTTGGTATTGATGTCTGAACTAGGAACATCTGCTTCTTCTATGTTTTCTCTCTAAGCCCTTTATATCAAACTTAACATCTTAGCTTCTGTTTGTTTGGATGCTGTGATCTGATCCAGCCTGTTTCTTTAATCATTTTTAGATGAGACCAAATATAAAGGTGACAATTTCACCATTAAGTTTCCTGCACCTCAGAAAGAAGCGCTGGGTGTATATCTGCACAGCAGACATGAGATCAGCCGAGATGTCTTCTACTATTATTTTGGAACCAAGAAATTATCTGTCCATAAAGACTTTGAAGGACGTGTTAAAGTCAAATATGACAACAAGGCCCTGACAATAGACATCATTAACCTACAAATGACAGACACTGGGGCTTACTGGTGCACCTGCAACCTTATGATTGAGAAATGTACAATGGACGAGTCAGGTGTTTTTCTTTTGGTGCACGGTGAGTGTACATTTCTGTTTCATTTATTGACGTAATTTTCAGTATTTAATTACAGACCATTTAGAATTTACCATATACCTATATTGATAAGTATGATTTAAGACATTCGTTACCATTCAAAAGTTTTGGGTTATTTTTGTATGTATGCATGTATCTATGTTTGTGTGTGTTTGTTTGTTTGAAAGAAATTAATGCTTTTATTCAGCAAGGATTCATTAAGTTAGTCAAAAGTATCAATAAAGATAAAATAGTTACAAAAAATATATTTCAAATAAATGCTGTTCTTTTGAACTTTTAATAATTATCATGGTTTTCACTAAAATATGAAGCAGCACAACCTTTTTCAAGATTGATAATGAGAAGAAATGTTTTGTGAGCAGCAAATTAGCATGTGAGAATGATTTCTGAAGGATCATGTAACACTGAAGACTGGAGCAATGATGATGAAAATTCAGCTTTGCATCACAGGAATACATTTCATTTTAAAATGTATTCAAACATAAAATGGTCTTGATAGAAAAACAATATTATTTAAAAAAAAAATTAAATTCAGTTGTAAAATATACCAGATTTGACAGTTTTTACTGTATTTTTGATCAAATAAAATACTTGGTGAGCATTAGAGAATAATTACAAACCGTTAATTTAAAAAAAACTTTTCAATGGTATTGTTTATTTTTATTGTTTTTTTTTTTTCTTTCTCGTTCCTAAAGGTTCAGTTAGTGAGAATCTACAAAAATAATAAACAATGCATAGTTTTATTGCTGTAGTTTTGAAGCTGGTGATGCTGCTTTGGCTGTACTGAAGTTATTTGGACTTCTCTTTACAGAGCCACTGATCAGTCTGGCCCCTTCCAGAAGTGATAATACAAAGTCGGGTGGCATGAATGACTTACTGATCCCAGTGACGGCTCTCACAGCTGGCAGTGTGCTCTTACTGTTACTCCTTGTGCTTGGAGTGTGGCTGGTGCCCAAGGTGAATGTCATACACCTAAAACTTGTTGCATGTCTGTACATCCGAAGATAATCCGAAACTTTGTAAATGCATTACACATATGCAACCTGGAAAGTGTAGATTTCAAATTTGTCCAGCCACATGATTACACATTTAGTGTCTATGACCAATACTTTTGTATTACCTATATATCAAAGAGGCATTTTCCAGCAAATGTGTTTGGAGGTTAATAATCAAGCTGAATTGTTCCTCTCTTTTGTCCCAGATGAAGAAACTGATCAGAAGCGAAGAGAAAGTAGAAGAGGAGAAAAGGTGTAACAATGGAGTGTACGAGGTCATGACTGTTCACCGAAAGACAGAGTATATATGAGACATTCACGTAAATATGAGACATTCCCTAGTACTAGTAAAATCCCTAGTACTCGAATATATATATACATATATATATGTATGTATATATATTTTTTCCAGTAGCCAAGCTACTGTAATCCACATAAGTTGGTATTATATATATATATATATATATATATCATACCAACTTGTGTGTGTATGTATATAAACAAAAAATATGTTTTTCGTACTGTTTTGCATGTTGCTGTGACTCATTCAGTCCTACGAACCTACTTTAGTTTGATCTGATTGAGGTTGGTTTTCTGACCTATTTCTGTTGAAATATGGCAACAGAAGATTCAGAGAAATGCTCTTAATATCTGTTAATCTCTTCTAAATGACTATTGGTTTAAACTGAATTTTCAGTCCTCTTCTATTTTCTGTAAATATTTCTTCTGAGTTATTTTGTGTATATATTTCAGATTGTTCAAATTCTTTAGCATTAATGAGTGATTCAGTTTTGGCTGCAAATACTATGCTTTGATTCTCTTTTATTTTTAGCCGTGTTGTCTATGCGTTTGTGTATTCAATTTTTAGTGAATTAATTTGTGTATGTTCTACATATTGTGTAATATAATCCACTATGGATGTTGCCCTTAAACGGCTGGTGTACATTTTTTGATAACTTCATTGTATAGCTTCAGTAATACACATTTAAATGTTGCTTTACAAGAATAATGGCAAATGTATGACAGACAACAGAAAAACAGGGTTTGAAAATGTCACCTTAGTTTCAGGATGTGCTTTTATTTGCCTTGGCTTCTTAGTCTATATTGGGGGCTTGCATAATCTGCTTCCCTGAGACGAAGCTGCAGACTTCCTCCTGTGGTGGAACACATTCGTGTCAAGACCCCTGTAGAGGAAACCTGCCCCTTTTTCAGAGAATGTCACCTCTATTCTCACTTTAGTCCACCAACATGTGCACTTTTTTCAGAGGGCTTTATTCAGATATGAGTGGTGTTTGAAACCTCAAAGTGATAAACACTGCATTTGGGGAAAAACTGTTGTGATACTTTTACCAGAAACAAGAGGATGTATGAGAAAATGTGTGGGTTTTTAAAATGTTTGTCAGATCAATTGCACAGTCAGTCCTGTCTACATTTAGTGTATTACATTGTACCTGGGAAATGTCATGCAGTTGTCATTTCAAAAAAGTATTTTCTGGAAAATAAAAAATCTAATATTTGCTGTAATGTTTACTTGCAGTGACTGGAAACATGTAACCAGTGAAAGGTTTTGGTTTTAACAGCATAGGAAATAAGTTCCGGTGTGATGTGACCTATTGCAGTTTTTTTCAGTTGTTTAAAAAAAACATTAACCAAAATCTCAAACCATAATGACATTTCACACAAGTTCCAAACCATTTTTCAAAACCTTAAACACAAATTTACAGCAGGCGCTCTTTTTAAGCCCTATAAAAACCCACAGCGGCATCACAACTTGACTGGTTCTCACCAGGCGAGCACTCGTGAGAATATGAGAATAACAGTATAGGCTATGGGAAGTTTCTCAATGTTCCTAGTCGCCTCATGGGTTGTTACGCAGTAAGATTGATTGAAAACTCTAATAAAGTCCTTCAAACCAAAAATATCAATGTTTTAAAAATGTATTCAATGTATTAATATATGCTGGCCTGGAACTATTTTGATATTTGTATATTAGATTTTTGCTGTTTCATAAATTGTTTATTGGTTTTATAATTTTGCTTTTACAACTTTTTTTAACTGTATAAAAATTATGTGAAAAAAACAAATGTGGATCTTTAACTCCTAATGTAAAATATAAAATGTAATTTTACAGTCTTACTAATTTCGCCAAAAATGACAATTCATGTTCATGCTATTTGTCTACTACTATTCCAGTTCGAGCGCCAAACCTTCAGGTGTGTAGTCTTGCCTCTATCCATAAGGCGGAGTTATCCACAGGTGTGGGTCTGTGTGTGTGGACAGGTAAAGCTGAAGGTGTGTGGGAGTTTAGTTCTAACCGATTTAGTTGGTTTAGCATAAGGACGATTTAAATACATACATTTTGATCGTGGTACATGTGCTTTGCGGAGAGCCGGAGAGAAATTCTACGCAGCGATCGATCATATTTCAGATGTTGCAATCTCAGATACGGATCTAATAGACTAAAGTCGAAATTCTCCGGATAAAAAGGACCACATGAACATGAAGAAAACATATTCCGGTGAGTAGCCTACAGGACCACCGAAAGTTTCATGTCATCAACTGACGTGAAATTTGCTCTTATAAAATAGCTGTAGGCTAAACTTGGATCTTATCATTATGCAAAAGTGAAAGCGAACTTGAAAAGTTCTTTTGCGCTGTGATATCCTCTTTTCATATTTTAAACAGTCAGTTTACACATACAATATATATGCAAATTATTAGGGGGGAAATTATAAGCAATCAAATATAGGCATAGTAATACGTAGGCCTAATTAACCGACTGATAACGACTTCCCAAAATGTCAAATAATAAAATGAGAATCTGCTATATTTGGCTTGTGTGCTCTGCATTTTCCATCAGGGTGAGTCATAGCCTTACTGACTTCTTTTTGTAGATAAATATGTCCAATACTTTCTGACAAACCTTTAGGGTCTTGCACAATTATTTAACCGATGGATTATTTTCTTAAGAATGCCATAAGTTTTTTTTTGGTCATATTTAAATCTATAATAAGGTTAGGCTATGTTTTGTCATGGTTTATCGACACGAACCGTCCAAACTGACCGCAATGGCGCGCAAGCATCATGCTGTTGTTATGGTTACTTCCTCTGGGAAACGGTGTTCGTTAGCATCTTTTTTGGGTCTATTTTGGTAATTTAAAATATGCACACTGACTAAACTTGTAGGCTACCCTAATGTAATAATTTACAGAACCGTTTGACACCCCACCCCTCCCCAATTGAAAAAAAGAAAGCATAAGACCCCCATCTTGGAGGGTTGACTGACACCACCAAATCCACCATATTTTTCACCTTTTTAAATGTATTTATATATTAGCATTGTAATAATTACATTTTTTTGGTAATAATTACTTTTCCTGAACTTGAATACAACTAATCAGAATGAGAGTGATGTTTAGTATTTTACTTTTGGGAAGTCACTTTTGGTGAGACCCTAGAAGAAAAAAGACCCTGAAGAAAACGTTTGCGGTGATCGCAGCAACTCATTTGTGCATCCATTTTCACTGGACATCCTAGACTTTTAGACATCATGTAGTATAGAGAACATACATTTCTTGTCCCCACAACTTTACCCACACAATTTCCCCTTCGTTGTGCAATGGAGCCTGCGGCGCTACATAGAGCCCTTCCATTGAGAACAGCCGTATGTTTCTTCCCTATAATCTGGACGCATAAGCCGAACTCTCTGTGTACACAATGATTTGGCAGGAATGTAGTGTTTCCTCAGGCCTGCCAAAGTCATTGTCACAGCACACCCAACTCCTAGCACACACATGTTGGATCATGTAATCAGTCCTTTTTCTCTTTCCTTCTCTGGCAGCACACAGCGTATGTGATCTCATTCAGAGAATATCCCTCAAGTACAACCTTGGCCTCCACTGCAAGAACAATGGTGCTTAAAGGGATAGTTCACCCAAAAATGTAAATTCTGTCATCATTTACTCAGCGTCATGTCATTCCAAACCTGTATGACTTACGTAGATATTTTCAACTGCTTTTGCCCATAGAAGGAAAGTTAATGAAGTTGAAACAAAACAAAAAAAACACAGTGACATTCTTCAAAATCTTATTATTTGTTTTGCAGAAGAAAGTCATACAGATTCAGAATGACATGATTATGATTTTCATTGAGTGAACTATCTCTTTAAAATCATAAGTTTCATTTATTTACGTATTTCAGAGAATACACAACACTTTGAATTGCATGTGCATGTGTGCTTTGCCGTGTAAGACGCCCTGAACACTTGAGGTAAATCAGTAACTCACAATGAGAAGTAATCAAACATCAGCACAACAAGACTCTGCTAGACATGTTCACGCATAGACGGCGTAAATCACACAGATCGTTTATTAATCATGACACACTGTCAGCTCTTTCTGCAACAGTTTAATGCTTGGATGAACTTCTGATTCCTGAACCATTATGAGTCATTTTGTGCCTCCATTTTGTTTATTGGGCACCTTTAAGTGTTAAGTTTATCTGTGAAAACCAAATTTCTACATGATGGATTGCATGCTGCACTGTCCATGTGGAGTTCTGTAAGAATTAATGCTAAAAAATGTCTCCCATGTCTCATCTGGAAGTGAATCATTTTGAGCGGCTGAATGAATCTCTTTGTTAATCCTTTATTTTGGATCCTTGCCCAACAGAGCTTACTGAGGCAATAGAGACTCTGCACTATAGCACTTTTTTTTTTATCAGTATCTGGCTCCTTTTCCTTCACTGCCTCCCTCCCCTTTCCTGACCTGCCCTGTCATCACAGTCGAGCTGACAGGTGAGTCAGCGGCAGCACAAATCTCCTGTGAAATTAACCCAGGCCGAGAGTGCTTTGAAATTCCTCTTTGCTCCAGAGGCATGTCGACTTGGAGGGCTGATCACAGTCATTTTCATTACCATGTCACACATTTCACTTGTGCTAAAATGTCTCCTTTGACAGCACTCGACTTGACACTGAAATTGACAGATGGTTTGGTCTTTTCCTGCCTCCTCCAAGTCTCCCTGCGTTTGTCTTCATCACTCAAGACTGTTAGTTTAGTGATTACCGAATGCGGACACAGGAATGTCATGGATTGATAATGGGCACTTTGCCTCACAGGGTGTGTACGGCTAAGAATCAGGCGAGGAGTTAAAGATTATCTACCGGCACTATCACGTCTTGCAAAGCTATGCATTTCTGCTAGCGTCACCACATAGAACTGCAAAAATAATGACTGCATTCAAACAAACTTCCCAAACACTCCCCTGTCTGTCATTGGTCAGTCTAGCATATAGCCCCGCCCCAAACTCACA